CTAAGACCTTTCTTCTAGACACCCTGCAAACCCTCTAAGCCAAGGCTCGCAGGGATGTACCAGAAGCCTTGCGCAAGGGCAACCTGCATGGGCATGACGATGAAGGCGACGGTGCCTGGCATGATGTGCGCCGGGGCGTTGAAGCCATTGGGCGCGCGCTCTGGCTCCAGAAAGGCTATTGCTTCGGGCATGGGCTGCGGCCAAGTCTCCTGGTGGGGCTGGGGCATGCTGGCTGGCATGTTGGGCGCATTTTGGACGTTGAAGCCATTGGGCCCTTGAGGTAGAAAGGCTCTTGCTTCGGGCATGGGCTGCGGCCAAGTCTCCTGGTAAAGCTGGGGCATGCTGGGGGGCATGTTGGGCGCATTTTGGACGTTGAAGCCATTGGGCCCTTGAGGTAGAAAGGCTCTTGCTTCGGGCATGGGCTGCGGCCAGGTCTCCTGGTAAAGCTGGGGCATGCTGGGGGGCATGTTGGGCGCATTTTGGACGTTGAAGCCATTGGGCCCTTGAGGTAGAAAGGCTCTTGCTTCGGGCATGGGCTGCGGCCAAGTCTCCTGGTAAAGCTGGGGCATGCTGGGGGGCATGTTGGGCGCATTTTGGACGTTGAAGCCATTGGGCCCTTGAGGTAGAAAGGCTCTTGCTTCGGGCATGGGCTGCGGCCAAGTCTCCTGGTAAAGCTGGGGCATGCTGAGGGGCATGTTGGGCGCATTTTGGACGTTGAAGCCATTGGGCCCTTGAGGTAGAAAGGCTCTTGCTTCGGGCATGGGCTGCGGCCAAGTCTCCTGGTAAAGCTGGGGCATGCTGGGGGGCATGTTGGGCGCATTTTGGACGTTGAAGCCATTGGGCCCTTGAGGTAGAAAGGCTCTTGCTTCGGGCATGGGCTGCGGACAAGTCTCCTGGTAAAGCTGGGGCATGCTGGGTGGCATCTTGGGCGCATTTTGGACGTTGAAGCCATTGGGCCCTTGAAGTAGAAAGGCTCTTGCTTCGGGCATCCCGCCACGGAGGTCCGACTGTGCGAGGCCTTGTCCGGGGCCTTGTACCCTTAGTAGCCAAGAAACCATGTTATAGTAAGGGCAACCCTTTTTTGAGTCCATCACTCTATAAAGGAACCTTGAACCCTAAAAAAGGGGAAAAGGGTACTACTGGGCTACCAAGTGGCTGAGCGAAGGTCTCTTGCGCCGGTGCATGGTTGGGTGGCTGTGCTGCCGGCGCCAAGGTCGACGAAACGGACTGCGGGCAGGTGATCCACCGCTCAAGGCTTCAGCTTTGGGTTTAGTATCCCACAACTAACCCAAAGCCCTGAACCCTAAAGCCTAAGCCCAAAGGATTTAGGGCCAGGGAAACCGCAAATGCAACCCAATATAAAAACCCAGAAACCCATGAACGCTTGCGCCCCCCCCCGGGCCCAGCTTTCAGCGGGCAACAAACATGCAGGATCCACGCTCAAGGGCATCATCGTGCACTTGAGGGCAGAAGGTTAGGGGCTAGGTTTGGTTTAGAGGTTTAGGGCTAGGTTTAGGGTTCCAGGGGGTTTAGGGTTCAGGGTTTAGGGTTTAGGGTTTAGGGTTTAGGGTTTAGGGTTTGGGGTTTAGGGTTTAGGGTTTAGGGTTTAGGGTTTAGGGTTTAAGGTTCAGGGTTTCTCGAAACACTATTCTGATGATTAGGGCCCTTAATCACGCGCCGAGCAAACGGAATTGTTGAGGTTTGCAAGATCAGCATCGGAAACAACCCCTAATCCCTAAACCCTAAACCCTAAACCCTAAACCCTGAAAGCCACAAGCTCCTAAAGCCCGCATGCTGTGGACCGGAACCAATCTTCTGCTACAAGCTGCCAGGGTTTAGGGTTTCGGGTTTAGGGTTTAGGTTCAGGGCTTCGGGTTTAGAGCCTGGTGCACACGCAGCAGGGAAGGCACAGAGCTAAGAAAGCCCAACTTTTGAAGAGTGGCGAAGTTCCTACTGAGGCGCTGAACCCTGCAGCCACTTCAGCTTGGGGCTTAGGAGGTGTGTGTGACGTGTGTGTGTGTGGTTCTAGGGCCGGCTTGGTCTATATGAAGCAGGGCTTATGTTTCTTGTACCCCCAGAAGGACACCCCATATACACACTCACCAATGTTAAAAAAGGAACCTTATATACACTCACCACTAGCTGTTTCATATGAGCTTCCCTCAGAATACAGCACGAAGTAACCAGTTGAAACTTCAAATGTTCAAACCCTAAACCCTAAACGCTAAACCCTAAACCCCCACTGGGAGGTTCAACTCGGGCTTCTTGCATCCTCAGTCTGCAAGACGAAGCCCCACGCCTTCAATGATGAACTCGACCTTGACGTGCAGCCCTCAGCCGCACGAGCTCAAGTAAGCAGGCGGAACTGGGTATGCTGGGTTGGTCTTTAAACCCTCTGAAAAATATTTATACATTATGACAAGTAGAAGAAGCAGCAATATGGGGGGGGCAAGCGTGCTCGCGGCAGAGATGCATGGTGCTGCAGTCATGGTAGAACAGAATGTCATCCCGGTTGGTCCCGATCTCGTGATCATTGTCGCAAGCATAGTCTGAACGCAACACATGGAGGTGGCATGTCCGGACCGACACATGTCCACCATTATAGTGCAAGGTCCAAGCAGCTTTAGAATCGTTGACAACTGCCTCCGGTGCCTTGGCAACGTGGAGGGGTTGCAAACCCCATGAAGCCCTATAAACCCTCAAGCGCATCGTTTCCCCCAAGCCGATTGGGGCAGCTCTCGGACCCCAAGTACAGCAGGAGTAACTGGAACCGAAGTATGACAGGGGCCCTAGCCCCCCCCTCCCCCCACAAGGGAACATGATTTTGAGCACTGATTCAATAAAAAGCCACGCACCTACCGCTTCCGTCAGGGAGTGCACTTCAACAAAGACTTTTAATGCGGGTGTTGGCTTTCGCGTGATTCATGGGGCTCAGATTCTACAAGGCTCTGGGTATAGGGTTTGAGATCTGAAGGTTTGTGTTTTACGCTTCGTGCACATGCACTTGTTTGCCGCATGGGTTGTTCTTAACTCGGGCCCGCTGATTGCTATGGGTAGAGCCATATAAAGGGAAGCTCGCGGTTGAGGGTAGAATCCACCCGCAAGGACCTTAGAACCTTTCCAAACACCGGGGACTTCGTGGCCCTAACCCTGAACCTTCCAACCTCAGCCCCGAAGCAGCGCAACCCCCCAAGCTCAGCACTGGCATGGAGGAAGTCGGCCTGGAAGGCACGGCCTCAGTGGCGCTCTCAGGGCACACTGGTCATCACCACAATGAGTGAGCCGAAAGCCCTTCCACACACACATCGCTGCTTCATTCGAATTCAAGCACTCACCCCGAAACGACCTGGGAGCAAGTTGATCCCTCCGGATCTACGACTATACGAACATATTACTATACGATTACATATTAAATTCTCATGTCTTGTATTAACTGATATTCTAGATATTCTAGTATATTGTTGTATTGATACAGTGCAAGGTCCAAGCAGCTTTGGAATCGTTGACAACTGCCTCCGGTGCCTTCGCAACGCGGGGAGGGGGGGGGGTGGGGAGGGGTGTGGGGGAGGTGTGGGTGGGGTTGCAAAAGCTGAGCTCCCTCTCTATCTCGCTCCCCCTGCATCTCCCTCTCCTGAACCCTATGAAGCCCTAAACCCTCAAGCAATGGGCAGTTCTCTGAATTACGGATCCCGCTTGCGGGCAGCAGAAGTAGCTGAGGCCATAGTATGACAAGGACTACCCCACCACCCTAAACCCTCAACCCTAATGGCCCAAGGATCTCGTATTAAAAAGCCAGGTCCCTACCGCTTCCGTCAGGGAGTGCACTTCAACAAAGACTTTTAAATCGGGTGTTGGCTTTAGCGTGATTCATGGAGCTCAGATTCTACAAGGCTCTGGGTATAGGGTTTGAGATCTGAAGGTTTGTGTTTTACGCTTCGTGCAAAAGCACTTGTTTGCCGCATGGGTTGTTCTTAACTCGGGCCCGCTGATTGCTAGGGATCACTCCTGCATTACAGGCCTGGGTAGAGCCATAGGTAGAATCCACCCGCAAGGACCTTAAAACCTTTCCCTAACCCTCCATCCTCAGCCGCAACCCCACAAGCTCAGCGTATGTTGAACTTTTCGGCGCCGATGCTGCTTTACAGATGCAGCGAGCGTAAAGGACCACAGCGAGGGCGCAATGCATGGGTTAAGGTTTCGGGTGGTGTGGTTTCAGACTTCTGCTTTTTAGACCTCAGGGTTTCGATTTCACAGGATTGAGTGCAGAAACCTCCGCTGACGCCGCTGCTGCTGGTGCTACTGCTGCTGAACCTTGGCAGCGATGCAGGTGCATTCCGTTGGAGGTACTGTTGCTGCATTGCCCAATCGATGCGCCAGGTGCACGAGTCTCTATCTTATGGAAGAACTCTGCCGCTGCCAAGCAAGATTGCGTTCACCATGCGTTTCACAACGAAAACAAGTCAAAACCTACAGAGGAGCCGCATGCTGCCCGGGTACAGGCTGGATGCTGAGCCGGCGAATGTCGAGGCAGCACCTGTCGTGCAGGCCTAAATAACCCAACACCTAAATGTTCAGGAAAGGAGGCTCGAGCAATGGACCCGACTCCAGCTGCCAGCTTTGACCAAAAAAACTCGTACACACCTCTCTCTATATATACATATATATATATATCACAACTGCATTCATTCGTCACAAGAGGGGATTGAGCGACGAGTGGGCAGGAGAGAGAAAGAGAGAGAAGCAGGATGCAGCCAGACCGTGTGCGCTAGTTTCATCAGTTGAAAAGTCAGAAAGTTTGGCGCGCATGACACTCGACAGCAGATTGACGATGACTACTCGGCAGGCGGGGCGTCTAACGCACAGTGGCGTTAGACGCAGCCGCCCCGCCTTGGCATTGATAATGAAAGCACCTGCATCAGAAGTAGAGCGAATCCAACGCTGTAAGCGAATTTAGCTGTACGCCTCCATTTCATTTTCACATTGCAGCGGCCCACGCCGTTTCAAGCAATGCACAGTGAGACGTTTGGTGGGATTTGGACCAACAACCCCTCCCGTATGTGCAAGACCCACAGCGCTGCTTCCGCAGCTTGGCCCAACTTTGGCATATCAGCGACCTTCCAAGCCGCTTCATGCAAACTGTCCGCGCCGCCATTGCGGCAGACGTCAAGGTCGCCCAAGCAAACAATAAGACATGTCAACATTTTCTGGACTTCTTCTTGGCCCTCTCCTCTTTGGCAGCCAAAGCATCTCTTTCCAAAGTGGAGAACGCAATGAGATGCCGCAGCTTCCAGTGCTTCTTTCTTGTTTTTGCCGACGCCAGAATACGTGGCGCTGGAGTAACGCGGCACGCTTAGCGTGCACAGCCATCCCCCACCCTCCGGACCATCCAGTGGCTGATAGTTCTTCTGCACGTGATCGCCGCGCCCGCTAGCGCCAGTGTATAGCCTCAACCAGGCAGCATCTTGCAGACACACAACTGCACTATGCACTCCACACAAGAACTTGCAGTTCTAAGAGCCCAGCTGCATGAGGTGGCGCACGTACCCAATGCGATCGTCTCTGCGTCTCTTTTCGCCAGACGGCAACGCCATGGCATTCAAAGGATATCAAAACCCAGATATTCGACCACCACAAGTGCATCTTTCTGGTTCTTTGTTGGGAATGAGGGAATCAATTTCTTTTTTTTCCTCGGCTATGTCACTCCTACTTTTGAGGTCGGCGCAAAGCCTCATGGCCACCCAGACTGAAAGGCCCACGGCAGCAAGTATATCAGCCAATAACGGTACCCTGCTCTGCACATGCACTTTGCACATGTCAGTGTTGCAACTGCTGACACTCCCAATAGCCGCCTGTCGGCCAGCCAGCACATTCTTCTGCAGGCCTCTTGCAGCTTTACAGTGCCACAACGTCAAGATTTTATAAGATTTTGACAGCCCCCTCCACCTTGCAAGTCTGTAAGACAGCCCCCTCCACCTTGCAAGTCTGTAAGTGCCATGACGTAGCAGCCAGCACGCATCACAAACATGAATACATCGTGCGCTGTCTCAGGCCTGTGTGCTTGCCACCGTCCTCCTGGAAGAAGTAGCGCTGTTCTGCCGGCGCCTCACCCTGCAACGGAATGTGCCCCGAAGGCAGCTCGGAAGCGCACCACAACACGCAAAAAAAATCCGGTCGATGATGTTTGACAAGCAAGGCCACTGCGAACATTAACAACACCATTAAGCCCCCTTCACGCCAGATGCATGTGGAAGCACGCCCTCATCCGAATCGCCGGCCTCCTTCTGTGCTCCAGGATTTGGCACCCAGAAGCCCATTGCAGGCCGCATTGCCAACCGCCTCCTTTGCTCTGGCCTTTGCTTTGGCCACTGCCATGCGTCTGTGGCACTGTGCCAGTCTGAAGAGGTGGCATGGAGGAACTTTGAAGCCCTTGCTGCTTCGGCCGAGGATCCTGGGGAGCATAGGCAGGGCACCGAGCATGGCTAAGGGCTGCTGTGAGATCGGAAACTGCTGTGAGCCAAGAGCGCTGCGCATTCACTTTAATCCGAAACCCCGAAAACTCGAAAGCATGAAGCCGCAATGAAGGCCTCAAATGCTCAATCCCCAAACTCCTCCTTTGCGGCGCCGTCCACATGGGTTAGGAACCTCGAAAGTGGGGGATGTGTCTACAGATGCAGGCGAGGCTCCAGGGGACCTCCCAAAAATCCTGCCTAGGGGGGTTTAGCCTGGAAAATCGTCCGACAATGGGTTACCCAGCTTCTGCAAGACCTTGCCCCGCACCACGATGAAAATCCTCAAAATCTTATTCCCAAAATCTTCCCCAACCCGTTTTTCCTCAGCTCTAATTCCCCAAAATCCTCTTCCAAACCCTCCGCTATTCCTAAGCCCAAAATCCCAGCCCAAAAAACCAAACCTCAAAACCTTTCAGACATGTGCCCTAAGCCCTAAATCCATTTGACATTGGCGAAACGTGACTCGCATGGATCATGCAAACACCAGCTGCCCGATGCACGGAGATTTCACTCGAAAGTGTTGTGCAATGTTGTATACTCAAGTAAACGAGACATCAGGCAAGCAAAAGAGAAACAAGAGTCTCCTGATTCGAGCGCTATACGCCTGCGTGGAACAGCGGTAGCCCCATGACGCCGTGCGTCCTGCCAGCGCCAGTCGTTCTTTTCTGCCTTGAAGGTTTTCTTCCCGATCCACCCAGCTATTTCTCATTGTCATGGCTTTTTCATGTGGCCGCTTTGTCGGCCCATTTTCCTTTCGTCTTGCTGCAGTGCCCCCCCACCCTTCCCCCCGCCATCACTTCCCCTCTTCGATGCCTGAGCCCAGGCGCTGGTCCGCTCGGGGCGTGCCCGGCTGAGGGCGACAGCCGCCTTAGAATAGGAACACGCCTTTTCCTGATGTGGAAGCCGATCGATGTGTCCGGTTTCGGGCATAGCGTCAAGAGTTGTAGGCATTGCCAACGCACAAAGCATAAGACGTGATTACAGTCGAAGCAGAACTCATAAAAGAAAACGTGGTAGCCCCAAACCTTTTCAATCATCTTCATGCCTCATACGAACAAACACAACACTGGCTAAGGACATATCTGCGGTCTCTCATTTTGCTCTCACTTCCTCATTCTCCTCGCGCAGGCTCGCTGCTCGTGCACCTGCTTCGGAAGGATGCTGAGTTCAGACGGCTTAAAGGGTTTACCCCCTGGTAATGCGTAGGGAATGGGGGGTTGAGGTGCCTAAACATAGTCCCGCAAGGGGTTTTTGTAGGGGAGAAAGGTTACTTCATTCCCTCATTCCCTACCAAGAAAAGCTAGTTTAGGGTCCAAATAGTTGCTGAGGCATTGCAAGCAAGAACCGTTCTCTGGCTAAGGAACGCTGCGAGTTTTAGTGTTGTTGTTGCCAAGTGGCGTAGGTTGAAACGCTTGTACCATGGTCTTGGACCGCTTTGTTCTGGACACTAAGATCGCATGAACAAGTTCGTTCAGATCGCCGCCATGCCTTACTCGGGCCTAGAACTTACACTACCTACAGCTCCTCCACTAACTGCTACACCCTACCACAAGGCAGGGGCTGGCCAGTGATTTGTACGCGGCAGAAACTTAGGGTTCTCGCTCTTACTGCCTGCTGCTATTAAAACCGCCAACACTGCCAGAAAGGCGGCACATGCAAGAGGTTAGCATGGAGAGCTCTGCCAGTTCTTACCTCTTCAAAATTTTTGGCCACACTAGACATGTGCTGGACAACTCCAGCCAGCACGCTGGAACAGCAAAGTGCTTGTGAAACTCCCCTACGTCCAAGAAGACCACCATTCTTAAATTTCCCCAAAAATTAATTCTAACAAGCAATCACTCATGCCTAATTTATTCCACTTGATGATAAATAATCTTACATCTTACAATCAGAGGCTTTTCCTATCTTAACAAACTGGAGATGCATCACAAGTCAACACTGCGTGCACATTGCACATTACCCATCCAAAGGCAGGGTCCCCAAACCCGCTTAGTAAGAGTTATCTTGAACCCTTAGGGCCCGAGACAACCACTCTGAGGCACCCACTCTGCCTTGCCAGCTTACAGTTAGACCCCATCAGAGGGTTTTGGGCGGTCATACCACTTTTCCGGGCTGTATTGCGCAGTTTCTTGCATAGCGCACGCTTGCAAGAAGTCCATTTCTAACCTCTTCCAAGTCTTTTCTTCAACGGTGCCCACCGTTCAGCAGATGTTGTAGGTTCTCAGGTCCCTATTGCAGCACAGACCGTCGTGGGTCTTGTGCCAGGCGTCCCAGGGGTCTTGTGCCAGGCGTCCCAGATTCAGCAGATGCCACAGGTCCTCAGGTCCTCATTGCAGCGTGAACCACCGTGGGTCTATTGCCAGGTGCCCAGTTACAACTAAGTGCTGCACGTGCCCTGTGGGTGCCTGCGTTCCTGGTTCAGTAGATGTCACAGGTCCTCAGGTCCCTATTGTAGCACAAACCACCGGGTGCTTGCCAAGCACATTACGACACCTCCTTTCACACCATGCAATTCCCTCCAATCTTTCACAGCATTTTTTGGGTTGTTGAGGGCATAGCCAAAGAGGGGAACTTCAAGGGAGAATCCCAACCTCCACTGCACACCTGGGGCTTGGGCCGCCTGGCGCAAGACGAAAGTGAAGCTGAGAATGAATAAAGAATAAAGAGTGTTGCAGAACAAATTTTTTTTTTTTGGACTGACGCCTCTTTACTACATCAGTAGCACAGTAGGCCGGTCTTGTTGGGCTCGACGTAAAGGGTGAAACAAAGTCAGCGCACACAATCCGCCAGACACACCAAGCAACCACCAAGCAAACAAACACCAAAGAAACAAAGCGAGCAATCGCGCTGAACTACTAGATACCCCACGGACTCGCGGCTCCTGAGCAAGGCGGAAGTGTGCATGGAAGCCCGCAGGGTTCACCGGTGCACGTGCCGTTGACTGCGGAGGAAGTCCCAGTCCCTGACAACACTCCCGAGGAGGAAGCCTTGCTGTTTGGAACCGGTGAGACTCCGGTAGGACAGCAACCGAACCCCTTTGCTGCCTTTGGAACTCAAGGAGTTCCGACCTCACAGCCAGTCACCGCTCCAGGTGGTGGTGCTGTTGGAGAAAGTTTGGTGGTTGAGATGCTGCGAGTAATGCAGCAGCAGCAGAGACAGCAGGAAGCCATGATGGACCAGTACCGGAAGCAGTTGGAACAGAACCAACAGCTTGTAGCCACCATGCTTCGTCGCATGGACAGTGAAGAGAAGAGGAGGAACGATGCCGAACTTGCAGCTGCTGAGGCCAAGGCGGAAGCCGCAGCGGCATCTGCACCAAGTGACCCGTTCCTCGCTGCAACTTCGTCCACAGGAAGTTCTCTTCCGTCTTCAAGGCCTAAAGATACTGGGAGTTCATCTGGTGGATATGTTTCCAACCGTGCCGACAAGTACCTTCCACAGCTGCCTGTCATAGCCCACCAGGAGATGGGTAGAGACAGAATGCGAGAGATTGAGGCCTGGCACGGCTTCCTGGAGACGATGAGTTCATGGTTGGCTTTGCAAGACGAGGCCTATGTGAACGAGCTTCGCCTCTGCATCAGTGTCAAGGACGAGATCCGACAGGACCGTTTACCTCCTGACACTGCAGCTCGGTCAGCGAAGTTGTTTTACCTGCTTTCGCAGAGCTTGGCGAAGTGGGAGCGTGGTTTGGAGTTGCTTCGAAGCTGTAGCAAGAGGCAGAGCATGTCTGCTACTGGCTACGAGGCAGTTCGCACCTTGCACCTGAACTACTCCATTGTGTCTCGAATGGAAGCCGTCTACGTGAGAGACGGTTGCATGAAGTTGCATGCCCAGTGTTCGGGGCTCAGAAAGCCCATGGACATCATCAGACACTTGGAGGACGAAATCGCCAAGGCGGAGATCAAGTTGAGCAATTTCCCCGAGTTGAAGCTCTCCGAAGCAGATCGCTGTTCCATCCTGCTACAGGCCGTTTCGCATCCGGCGAGACAGTACGTGGCTCTGCACGGCAACGCCAACAGCTGGAGTGAGCTCACGAAGAGCCTCAAGTATTTCGAAGAACAGCTGAGGATGTGCGACGTGCC